TTGAACTTGCCCTTGCCCTTGCTCTTGCCAAACTCACGAGAGCCAGTCTTGACGGGGCATTGTGCAGCATGATGCCATTTGGAGCCACAAACATGACATCCACCGCTGCCACCTTTTCCTCCTTTGCCATAGTAAGCATCTTCATTCTGGTCTGTTGAGGAGGCAGCTTGAGGTGGAGGATCATAGGCATCTTGTGCGCTCATGTCGTACTCCTCAGGAGAGTACCATTCGCTCGAAGGAGACTCGCCGTGGTATGTGGACCATTCCTCATCATAGTAGCCTTCTTCAGCATCATACCAGGTGTAGAGGTCGTCATCGGCCCACTCATCGGCATACCATGTCTCCTGCCAAGGCTCATGCCATGAAGACCAGTCATCTGTGGTGTGGTAGTCCTCATAGGGCTCGTCCACGGTACCGTACAGGTCGGTGGAGAAGGTGGAGTTCTCACCACGTTGACTGAGTCGAAGGGCAAGACGTTTGGCCTCAGCAAAGCGAGACATGTCTCCTTGGATCTGGAGTTTCACATCCTCGATGAACTTGTTCGGCAGGCCTGAATTGCGAAACCAGAGGTAGGTCTTGGCGACCGGGTTGATGTCAAGGCCTGCACGTGTCTGAGCTTCGTCGTACCTCAGATCCCATTCGGATGCGTACTCCTGAAGCGACAGCTTTCCTCTTCTGAACTCGAAGAAGGCGTTGAGGGCCGAGGTCGTGTGCTCTTGGTCGCTCATGCCGAAGGCTTCACGAAGTTGGTGAGCGAGAGCTTGAACTCCTGAAGGTATGGCGTGTTGGAGGATCGTCACACCATCCATGGGGTCAATGACCTGGTCCACACTGAGCCTCACAAGGGCGTTGTCGCCCACATCGAAGTTTCCGTCAGGGCGGATGAGGCGCAGATTCATCGCCAGCTTTTGAGCTTGTCCTTGCAGTCTTCCTGCGACCAGAGGGCCGACTGCTTCGTCTGGTCCGTCGTAGATCCGGTACCAGAGCTTCAGCTTCTGGAGGTATTGGTTCAGGCTGTAGTCAGCAAGACCAGGTGCCCAACCAGGCGGCAGGTCGCGACGGAATTCCTGCAAGGGAACTCCTGAGCTCAGCGAAGTCGAAGGGGCAGCCGCCATTGAAGCGTAGATTGGGCAAAGCTTCCAATGCAAGCAAAGGTACTCCTCGGGGCCCAGGATCGCTGCCAGGAAGGTGAAGAGCGGGACCTCAATGTCCTTGTCCAAGTCGCTCGGGTTCAAGAGCTGGTGCTCAACTTTCACCTCCTGGTAGCCGACGAATTCGGTGAAAGCTGCCAGCCAGATCAGCAGGATGCCGATCAAGCCAGCCTTCAGGCCACGGCTTACGCCGCCAGGCAGCGTGGCTCGAAAGGAGGGTGGACCACAGGACGTCGTGATCCCCAGCCGGAGGTCGGGTCCGGCGGCGTGCCAAGCACGCCAGACAGCCGCGGAGGGTATGGCGTCGGCAAACGAGGCTCCGATGCCAAACTTGTTTTGAACCGCTCAAAGGGCCCTGCGTAAGGTGCGAAAATCTAAACTGGACCCATCTCCACAGAACGTGAAACCGGTTCTGCGAAAGCGAGGAGTCGCAACCAGCATCGGGGCCAAATGCTGGGAGGACGCTCAGCTCCGCTGGAGGACTCCAAGTTGCAGTCAAGCTGGTTTAGGCTCAGAAAACCACCAACAACGCCAGAGTTATTGTATTCTTCCATCTGGTTTGCAAAAGAACAAACCACATACAGCTTTTTAAGAACTGGTTTGAGCCTTCCCCGAGCCTCGGGTTTTTAATTACATGACATGCGATTGTCTTTGAGGAGAGGCCACCGTCGATTTTGGACGCTGGCAAAAAGGTTTCATCCAAAGGACATGAATTCAGGTTTGACACCAATACCAGTAATACTGAGCCTCGGGTGCCGGAACGACTACTGCGGAATGGAGCAGCGCATCATGCGCGGTGGTTGCGCGCGGTGGTTGGTTCCGCAGAACGAAAGATCGGTGACCTGACTCCAAGTGCACCAACATGTATGCCACCTTAGCAAAAGCGCCTTTACCCGTAATGTGCCCTGAAAAGGGGCGTTCGGCGTAATTGGCTAAAACCAAGCTAGACTCGGTGTTGTTGGTTGAAGTTATTGAACATGATGATTGGCTTATTAGATGCAACCAATCCAAGTTGTGGTGATTTATGATAACTCCGCCCGACAATCCTCTATATAATAGGGATCAAATACCTAGTGAACCAGGCATTCTTGAGGTGTGCCCTGGCTGTTCACGCCCAGTGTTTCTCTTCAGCAGTTCCTAGCTCTTGCCCAGCATGTTTGGCTTAGGGATTGATTGTAAATAAATCCAGCCATGGATCCAATCAAGGAAACCGTGTATTAAAATATTATAGAAATAGAGAAGGCCTGGGAGACATGCCAAATGGTTTCTGTGGCCCGGCGCAACCTTGGCGCAAAGCTGTCGAACAAACCCGATGAAGGGAGAGATTTTATGCCATCACCAAGGCGAAAGCTAGAGGACTGTGCGTGGACCATGCGTAATTCAACATAAACTCACAGTGAACCCACCAGGCAACCTTGCGTGAAACCGTGGCAGACAAGTTGTTCACAGTTTTCCGACGTTTTGTCATCCCTATATCTCGGAGTAATCGCCCGATAATTCGGCGTAGTAATCCCTGATAATTTGGCGTACGGGCGCAATTGTCCGTAACCATGTTTCGCTTAGTCGAGGTTTCCTATATATTCTTGAACCAAATATGAGTTGCAGACTGAGTTGCAGCTGTTCTACAACCGCCCTTGTCAAGGGAGGTTGGATCATGAAAGGGCAAAGCATTCTTTGGAGAGTGATCCGGAGAAGCAAACAAAGAGAAAATGCCTTGCCTGGCTTGGCCGTTCGTAGGGGACACATCAAGAAGGTCGGGACATTTAAGTGTGGTCTGTGGAAGCACTCGCAAACAATGGATTAATTATGATTAAATATCCCTGTCCACAGGTGTAAGGATTCCAAGGTATCCAAACTGTGGATGCCACTCCCGACTGTTCCGGCCAAATTGGCCATGGCATCTCCCACCTTGGTGTGCTCAGATTGGGAGGAGACTTGACAACGACGAACTGATAAGGAAAAGACTTGGATTCTTTTGAAAATCCTTCCGGACGTGAAGACTCATGAGACAGGTGAAAGAATGTGACCACGGTAGGGCGCCCATGGCGTCTAATACTGCTCTTTGGATGTTGTTGGATTGGGTTGATTGCTTGCGCGTTCTGCACGAGGACCTGCAGCCAATGAAGCTGCCGCTTCCTTCGCTCAAGTCTTTCAAGCTCTTCAGGGCGCCTGTTGAGAAGGCGTTGCCTCTTGGCCAGCTGTTTGGAGACATGCAAGACTGCACAACACTCAGAACCATATCATACTTCCAAGCCCCCAAAGAGGGAAGATCGGCGCCGGTCATCACCGCTAGCTGAGGACTCCTCGTTCGCCCCTGCCACAGGGGAAAGGCGAAGCGCTGATGAAGGGCAGACCAAAGCGTCCAAATTCGAAAGCGAAACGATCCACGTGCAAGATCCTTTTTCCGGGATTTGATCCCGAGCAACACGAGGAGCCGAGGGCCTCAGTCCGTCGCGCGTTTTGGATGGTGAAATTACTGTGCCAACTGGTATGTTTTTGGTCAGTAAATGTCGGTATTTAATTGCTTTATAGTCATTGTACCTTTGAACAAGTGTGGGTCTCCAAATGAGCACCAAATGAAACCCACAGGTACATCACAGACCAACAAACAGAACACTCAGCTTTGCTTTCTTGAGGAGTCCATTTTGAACTTGGAATGGTTGACAGGACTTCGAACTGGTCCCACGCATCATCGGACGCAATGGGTGCAACGTGCAATGGATTGCGAGCACCACTTGCAAAGTGCGAGTTCGTGGTCGCGGCAGCGGCCATTCGGAGATCCACGACAACGGAGAGTGCAAGGACTCGCTTCTGCACACACACACACAGCAGCAATGATACGTACAAGAGAAAGTGAGAAAAGAGACAGGATAATTGAGTAACAAAAGCAACCAGATCCCAATTAGCAAATTGTTGTATATTTTGGGCTCCTTTTACTCAGAGCGTCAGCCCTTTTCCATTTTAGTTACAGTTACAGGAGGCGGAGGTTCCACTTGAGATTTCATTGAGCTGTGCCTCTTCAGAAGAGCCGGAGACCGCTGTGCAAAAGGCGTCGAAACTCATGAAGGTGCTGTGTGGAGAACTTGGAAAGTGTGGGTGTTGGTGGAGCAGGGTGCTTTGGTCTACTTGTTTTAGAAACCTTGATTGCTGGCAACATTCAAACTTGCCCTGGTTTAGCCCTTTCCTGTCAAGTTAAGTTTGCATTCACACAATCCACTATTTCACAGTGTGGATTTCAGGCAAAAAGGGCATGTGGTTTGCGATGTCTAGATTCATTGTGTTGTTTGCTTTGGAGGTCTTGGAACGCCACTTCATCGCATATTGTCGCAGCAAGGGTCTACCGTGTTCAGGAAGCTCTACACTCTACAAGCTTGCATAGATGAATGCCTTTGAAAAGATCATACGTGAGGAACCCCTGGCATAATTTTTTACCGAGATGCCATTGTGCCCTGATTTCAGTCAAATTCATCCAAAAGCGCCGAATCCCAAAAAGAACGCGGAGGAATATGAGAACTGGCGACGTGAAAACGGTTTTTGTATGTTTTCAATTGTGTTCATTTGTTACTGGTAGATTCTCAAGATGTTCATCTTGCCAGTCTTACCACGCCCTTCCCAGCCCCCTTCCCAAACCAAACCACAGGGTGACCATCCACAGTTTGGGCTTAAGGCTAGAAGCCGCGACTAGACTTCGACTTCGACGAACCGTGCTGGAGCCGAACAGGCCGCGGGGGAGCCGTGGATTTGGACTGCCACGGAAGACGTTCGAAGCTTTCACCCCCAAAACGAAGCGTCGAAATACGATGCTTGGAGAGCATCGAGAATCCGGAATTCCATCGACGTGTCGCGCGCCTGCAGGAGGTCTGCACTTGTCCATTGCACATGGCCATCTCCTGCCAACGCGAGCCAACCCGTCGCCAACCGGGAAGTCACCCGGTTACGTGTTCGGTCTTCGTCCACCTCGTCGGGGGAGCTCGGAGAGATCGAGGACCTTGGGAGGTGGAAGATATACACTCCATGTGTCAATACATTGGGCCGGATTTCAGGGGTCGTATGCAGTTCTCTTCCAGTCCCATGGAGTGTGTGTGGGATACGGGTGTGTAGCTCCTGTCGGGCGGGCCGACTTCGCCGTCGCCGACTTCGGGGCTCGGACGACCCAAAAAGGCCGAGCAGGGAAAGACACCAGGAGTCACGTGAAGTACGGGGTGGTTTTGAGATATTTTGAGTCCCATCCAGGGGCTGTGGATGTGACAGGGGCATCCCGACTTCCTGCCGAAGGTGACTGCTGGCACAAAAGATCCTGTTCAGAAGCTTCGTGGTCGAACTCTTGCGTTTCATGATGTGGTCCTCTCCTAGCTGCAGCTGCCTACCTCGAGGCCAGCTGGAGATGGGCAACTGGAGATGGTCAATTTACACACGGGAGATGCTTTGCACAGGTTGGTTCACACATCCCGTTCCATTTGGTTGCATGTCCCGAACCGAATTCGAGATCCTTTCGGGAGACCTGATGAGATTTCGAGACTCGTTGACCAGTTAGTTATATTAGGTGAATTGGACTCCCAGTTGGACTCCGGTTTTGGCCATCTGGAACAAAACGTGTTCCAGGCTCGTGGACCTTCCGAGAATTTGGCGATGGAGATCCACAAGAGGTGGGGCTTCGATTGGTAACCCCTTGGAAGGTGTTGTGTTTTTGTTGCTGCTGGAATCCTGGCTGATCTCGGTCATGATCTCAGTCTGTCAAGCACCTCCTTTTTCAGGTTCGAAAGATCAGAAACTCAAAGCCTGGAAGACTGAACTCAATTGCAGCCCCTGGCAGAGCCCCATGCAGCCTCTGCCTTCCTTAGAAACCTCAAGGCAACTCACAAATTTGGTTTCTGGTCAGTCACCAATCCACGTGCAATAGAGGCCACCGGCCACCCCCCCCAAAAAATGCCTCAAACGTCCCAGAAGACCGTGGAAGCAGCAAGAAACCGTCCACGGACATGCGGCAGTCAACACCGTGCTGGAGCGATGCAAAGCGATGGGAAGCGATGGAAGTTCATGGTCACAAGAGGTCTAAGTGACGTGAAGTAAGTCACAGATCCCGAAAATGGGCGGATCTTACATAGAGTTTGTGTCAAAGTGGAACGCTTCACAAACCCTGTGCTCCTAGTTGCGCCATCTACCTCTCCAATTTGCTTTGATATGCGCTTGGGATGTTTTCTTGAATGCACGCGGTTTCTTTTCTGCATTCACTGTGCCACCTACCTGGCAAAATTTGAGGTAATATGAGGTAATTATCGTGTTGGCGCAATTTGAAGAGTCTTTATGTTTGCGCGCCTTTCGCACGGACGTCGATCGTTGCCGAGTCGAAACGCCTGCATGTTCACGCTGGTCTCGTTGCCAAATCGCCTTAGGGGTGTCCCATTCAGGTGAGTCTGAAGTGGGTCTGGAGTGGGTCTGGAGCAGGATGAACAGGCCCCAACTCTCAGCTTGGATGGTCTCAGCCTACCTCAAGCCCTTCAAAAAGTTGGTGTGGGCCTGGACTCCAGTGGACTCCGGCTCCTGCTGTTCAAGGACAAAACATCTTGCGCCACCTGGGTGGGGTAAAAGGATTGGCTTGATCTTACCATGCAATGCACATGATTCACACTCCTCAAGTGGAGGCGAGTCGGGAAAGTTGGAACTTGGCTCGGCTGATCTGCTGGAGTCCCCCCCTGTTTCTTCCTTCAATCGGCAAGTGACCAAACAACCGCATGTACCCTCCGACCTTGAGAATCCTTGGTGACAGCTGGCCAGTTTTACCAGTTTTTCGAGCTGTCCAGAACAGTGGACCTCTGACTCAGGTGTTCTGTACGGGGCTGGCCACCAGAAAAGTAACCCCCAGGTCGAGAATAAGTCATCCCCAGGTCCATCAAGTTCCCAAGCGTTTGGTTTGACAAGCAAAAAGCATAAACATCTGAAATCCTCTGGCTTGCAAACTCCACAGGAAAACCGAAGCTGAATGAACTGCCACAAGAAAACCAGCTGGCAGAAACCAGTGCCACACCCAAGACTGTCGTTGTTTCAAGCAGAATGGAAGTCCATAATCCAGATCAGACATGTTCTGTTTTACCTTAAGGATAGCTTCATATTTTTTGGTAAAATACTACAGTGAAGCGAACAAGTCGGAAAGGGGTCCCTCGAGGCTTGCATACAAGACCACCCAATTTGGGTGTTTTTTTCCACCGATATGAATCATGGAGTCATGACCCTCCAGAAACGATTCAGGGATGTCTGAAGCATTCCCAACTGTCGGGGTTTCGACGCTATTTGTCCCAACTGCTTTCTTTTTGCGTCTTCAGTGCCTGTCTCCGCAGGCCGCGGCAGAGAAGACAGGCGGTGTTCGGGAGACAATGCGGTGCCGCTGGTGCCGAGTCACAGTTGGAGCTCCTGTAGACCGCCCAGGTTGCTGTCCTGCCAGTCAGGCCGTTCGCGAGCACATCGCGGGCGATTCTCCGCGTGAGAGTTGGACGGGACATTTCTCCGCTGAAGCGAAGGGTCAACAGATCCCAAACAAAAGAAAGCTCGGTTAAGGAGTTTTGAAAGAATGTCTTGTCCATCAAGCCTGCTGTCATCGAGTGTGTCCTTCCTTCGTCACCACATGTCCTCTCTGGGAGGGTTTATAGATGGTACATCAAGCTCGGAGCTTCGCGGAATCGCTGTGAACAGCATGTCGAAACGACGGCCCATGAACAGCCCGGCACGTCCGACCACCGGTGCCTTGGGGAAAAACTGGGGCAACCCGTTGGATGGCCGCAGTTGATGGACCTCGGCGGCTTTCGGGAGGTTGGAGGCTTGGACACTGTGGAACATGTGCCTCATCCTCGCCACATGGTGAGTCAGCAGGCCCTTTTGGAACTTGGTGAGTGACCGGAGGTGTTTTGCATGTGAGTCAGTGATGTACTAAAATTGGGAGACCTCCCTATTTAACGAACCCTGAAAGAAATAAGGAAAATTGATGGACCAGTCTACCCAGCCGATCGGAAGTCTTATTATTGAAATACACACCATGTCACCCAACAAAGCCTATGGATCCACATTGACCCTCTTTTTGAGGGTGATTGGAGGCACGTTTATGTAGACGCTGGGAGGATCCAAACACCTTCTAAGGAGCTATTTGGATCCCTAGGGGAAATGAACACTAGCAGTAGCATTCACATTCACACAAACATGATGAAAAAACAATGTTTAGTTACTTTTTCTCGGGACGGACACAATTGGTCCTTTATCCTTTTGGTTGTCCAATTCCATTTTTAGTGGGGATCTACTTTTCGACCTATTTGGGGGCCGAGACAAGAGAAAACGATCGTCTCAAAACGTTCGTGTGGTCACCGTGGAGAGGACAGTCCAAATCCGACGCGGTGGGTTAACCTTCAGTTCTCCCAAACTACGTGGCACGCGTCTGATTCGTGTGAACTCACCATGGGCCATGGATGTGACTGGGCCATGGATGTTGAACACTGAGATGGTGTGGCAGTGTGTTCTGCCAACCCTAACAGTTTTTATGTCACAAGTAGCAACCTGTCCAAGTTACTTTTTTCCTGCCCGCTTCACAACTCTCGGGTCACGGCAATGAGGGCAAAGCCGATCCAGCTTCTAAACTTCCCCACATGCACATGCATTGGGTATCTCATATCCCATTCCCTGCAACGGTAGTAGATGATGGATCATAAAGGCCTTTCTTAAAACAGTATTACTCTTACAGGTCATGAAACATACCTAACAGGTCACTGCATGTGTGGACTTGTTTCCGGATTGATGCAGGTAGGATCAGGTCAGGACGTGCCGAATTTTTGATGGGATTTACGTGCACAGATTCTCACGAGTTTCATGTAGGACTTGTGGCAATGTTGTTCTTTAGCTTGGCAATCAAGGATGGGCCCAACTCTTCATGTTTCATAGTGTAAAGCTCTGTGTAAAGAATTGCCCTGCAGAACCCCCCCCAAAAGACTGTATATTATAGCCGTTGAAAGATCGAGCACCGCCAATGTCCAAGATGCCGTGGCTTCGCTATGAAGACCGTGGAATTCTTGAGTGCACGTCGTGGTCAACATCATTCAACATCAACCCATGCTTCAGGTCGGGTTTAGTTACTAAACCATACTAAACCTCTCAGACCAAGTGCACCAGATTCAGATCCTGCCTGGATTCACTTGGACATACTTGGACAGAATCCTTCCGTAATTCAACTGAGCTTTGCTGATGTTAGCTTGATAGATTCCTAGTGTCGTGCGTCGGTGCTGCGTGCGAACTCGCAGCGCGTCCAGCACCACATCGATCGGGTCCGATGCTTGGCTTCTCTGGGACCCTGGGACCCACGGACACCGAGCGATCCGAGCGACCGACGTTGTGACCAGTTCAGTGAATTTGAGATGTTGTGAGCCCAGACGCTCCTGGACCCTCATATGGAGGGGTCGGACCCCTCAAATCCCGGTTTTGAGGGACCCAAGGGCTGTGAACGGAGCGTCTGGGAGGTGCCAAAGCCGGGAATGACCGGGTCAATACAGGTTCCAACCCGGAGCTTTGGCATCGGGGATCTTTGAAGCGATCGGACATGATGTCCGTTTCGATGAAAACACCGACCTGGCGAACGAACTTCACGAAGGACATGATGGTCCGAGCAAAGGAGGGCAACAAAAAGCCCACCGCGACGAGAAACTCCACGTCGTATGTCCCAGTCGCTGCTGTGGTCAAGGCGAACAGACTGGCCTCAGGTGGAGCCGATCGTGGCCAAAACGATGCGGCGATCAGCCTTGTTGGACAGCCGTTTTCGTGGGTGGTCGATGGTGGACAGCCGTTTTCCTGGGTCTTTTGTGGGCGCAAATTGGGGGTTCTTTCCAGCAAGTCAACAAGAAGACACACATCAAAAGGATCTATTCCAAGACCTTCATCACTCAGTCAGTCGTTGGAGATCTCCAACAGGAGAGCACGACCGCGAGTCAGTCGCACGACGCTGGCGTCAGTCAACCTTCAGTCGTCTACGACTCTCAACTTCGTGGGCCTCTCAACTGTATGCATACAGTGGGCATGGAAGAAGTGAATCGAAGTTGACCCAGACACGACCTGTCTGGGACTGGGACTGCCGATCAAGCCAGGGGTGGTTGACTGGGGGTTGGGGAGGCAGTCCTATGGCAGTCCCATGGAGTGTCTGGGTAAAGGATGTGCAATCCGGGTACTTTTTTGAAGAGGCAGCCAGAGTCGTTAAACAGTGATTCCGTTATGGGTTCTATTTCCGATCGGATCTTGCCAGTCCAAACCTATAGTCTATTATTCATGATCAAACCTCCGCATGGTGGCTAACATATATCCTCCAAGAGGGGCGATCCCTACTACAAGTCGTTTTTTTGGAGAATGCAAAATGCACTGAGAGAAGTTAGTGAAACATCACCCACCAGGACCGTCTCTGTTCGTGACCTCTTTCACTGTGACCGTCTCTGAGACGTCACCTGATAAACAGGACCTTTCTGTTGTGACTGAACATCCTGGGGGTCTCAAGGACGGTCATGAACATAATCCTGGAAGTGCATTATAAGTCCTTTTATTAAGTTCTTAATTTCACCTTTGAAATTAAGTGAAGTCCTTTTTGGGGGGTGAATCACGGTGAATCCCCTGAAGAACTCCTTTTCTTTCCTTAGAACATGTATGAACATGTCTTTTCTACGATTTTTTTCTCGGTTCAGTCGATTGATGTTGATTGTTCTGCTAACGCCTGCAGAATCCCCGTGTTCTTTCACCAAAACCAATATTGAGGACTTGCTCAACCAAGGAGGCGTCCAACAGATGTTCTTGTTTGACAGACCCATGTCATCGGCGGCCAGTTCTTTGGACTGGCCGTAGGCTGAGCGTGGCTGAGTAGGCAGAGTCAGTCAAATATCAAGAATGATGAACATATCAAATAGACAAATGGGTGTGTCTTGAGGAACCACAATCTTCCAGTGTGGGATGCCTAGTTGACGGTAAACCCTTTAAACACTACGACAGTTACCCCTGGGCCTCACATTGAAGGTGATTGCCGAGCACGCGGAGCTTTGCAGATCGAACACTGTGGTTTTTGGCTCTTGGAACCGAGGCCAATCACGTCGTAAACGGTCCTAAACCGTCCTGAACTCCAAAACCGCCGCAGCCGCGAAGCTTCCACCTCATGCCAGGACGGCTGGCGGGGCTGCCGACCGAACCCTTGCTTCGTCACCGCCCCTGATGCTTGCGCGAGCGACCCGTCGCCACGGAAGGCTCGGGTCCGGACCCCGACGCCCAGGAGAGCGATGACACCAGCAGCCTCCAGGACGCGACGAGGACGCGGAGGGGAGGAGTGACTTGGACGGCTGGCGGGCCGGCACAGGTGCCTCAAACCCCCCCCAACCCGTTGCGCGCTTTGTTCGCGGCGTGGTGGGTTTGGTGGACCCTCAGGGTGTGGGACTTGGGACATGTGCCAACGCTTCGGTGGCGACCCATCGGGTCGTTCGAAGGGGTTACGTCAACGGATGAACGGTTACGTCAACTCGGAGGGTTCGAAACTAGCTCACCACTGTTATGAACGTGCACAAAGAGTGAAAGCTACTTTTTTTATTGACCCACGCTCATGGAAACTTGATTGGAACATCTCCTGCGGAGTCTAAGAATTATCCAGTGAGCATCTTCTGCAGTAGCACCCGCAACAATGTTCAAGCGTTTCAATATGTTACAACGGCATTTACCTGGATATGTTCACAATCAGGTTTGACCAAACTCATACCTATAAGCGGAGAGGGCTTAAGGAGTGTTAAATAGTATTCACAATCCAAAAGCTTCCAAGACCAGGACGGCAAAGAATCTTTAAAATCTTTAAAGCCAGTGGAGCAGGCAAACATGAAGTTCTGTATGCAAGCTGCAATCAAACAAGCAGTTGCCTGATGCTCTGGCCGTCTGGCCTACCCTCTAATCTCCAAGCCGTGTCTAAGAAACCCATAGAGTCTGAGTCTAGGTACCTCCTTTTCACATGGTCGAACGGAGGTGACGACGGACGGAAGTCGCATGGTCTTACGGCCTTTCAGGGACTTGATGGCCGGATGGTCCTGGACCAATGGCAGGACCCTCCCAAGCATCCAACTCCAGCCATCAAAGGACACCTGGTTGGTGTGTTCAACCCACTTGAAGGACCCATATTAGTGAGGGTCCAATCATCCCCAAGTATAGGGTTGAAAATAAACAGATCCGAAACCATCACCGTCCGAAAACAAACAACAAATACCTAGCTAGGGATCCCAAGCAAAGTTCACGTACTCACCGTCCGGACGGTAAACACGGCCGCAACGGGAAGTGCTACACGTTCCCAATGTCATGGTAGAAGAACAGTTTCTGTGCAAAGAAACTGGAGAGAGCATCCGTGTTCTCTGGCTGCTGGTATGAACATGTATCACTCCATCTGAAACCTGCGGCCGCAACGGGACTATGCAAAAAAACAAACACGGATACAGGTTGAAAGATGTTCTTCCCCCACTTGATCCACTTTTCAAGACTGGCTTCAATAGACTGACCCAGCTACCCATGCAAGAAGTATAGATGTGTTTCTCGTGCGTCGTTCGTCCATGGAACCATACGTGCCTCAGGGTGAGGAGGCTTGGCACCTCACTTAGTTGGAACAAGTCAGAGGGTTCCATGTTACCATTGGTTGCCTACTTGGAAATACACCACCTGACCACGTGAGCCATCTTGCCAAATTCCTGGTGGTTCTTGAAAACACACAAAAACACACATTCATCTTGGGAGCCCATGTCCACCCATCCACCCCACATCCCAGCCCACCTCTCGTCGACCCTGGGTGTCGACAGTCGGCCGCCCGGTTGATCCAACACCACCTAAATCTGGAGAAGTTGGAGATGGAAGGAACATCTCTGAGGGCTTTCAGTCCATTTCCGTTCCTTCTTCGTTCAACCTTCGAACGAACGACCCATCCACATTGGCTTTCGCTGGTCCATGGCCTCCACCCATTCTATGACCGAATGCTGGGTGGACCTGCCAGCATCAAACAAACAACACATATATAAGTTGGATACACAGTCCCTCCAATCATGGAAGTGAACAGCCACAAAAAACATAGATCTATACAAACTGTCTGTCTATACTTTTCTCTACAAAACGGATTGTCCACTTCGTTTGGAGGGAGAATATATTGACTAACTCACCTCCGATTTTCCTTAGGGCCATGCAGGTGTTGATCGTTTTGGGCCCTCAGCATTGCCTACACAGTCCAAGCTGAGCTGGAAGCTGAGGAGCAAAACTCACCACGTCCATGTGCCCCTCATGCTGGCAGTCTAAGGATCATTGTCTTCGGTTTCAACTGCTTTTCGGTTCGTAGGAATTGACCCTCCAGTGACCCGGACCGGAGGGAACCAGTGGATGACATGCTTTCCAGTGCCCCACCAGTGGAGGACCATTTACTCAAGCGCCAAGGAGGTGGAGACGCTGAACAAAAGACGCAGATGTGCACCCGTCCTGAACACTGAAGCTCCGAGTAGTGCGTAGACCAGCATGATCAACTCCAGTCAAATCTGGTCTTTCACCTCTAGGGTTGAAAAACGTGTCTTTCTTTGTTCCCAACCACCTCGACCTGAAGCCCGAACCAGTGGCGCCTTGCAAGTGGCGCCATGTTTCTCTGCGCCTTGGGGATGGAAAAGGGTAGATCCCAAATGCACTTTTTAAACAATTTTAAAAAGGAACCTCAGGGAGATGTTTATCGACCGTGCGGATTGTTCAGAGATAAAGTTAAAAGTAGTGTGGCGCAGGTTTCGGAAGAAAACAAATGCTTCTTTGTTCTGTGCCAACAATGAGTGATAAAACAGTCCAAGCTTGGGAAATATCAGGTTTGTGGTGATATTTTGGGATTAGCTAGGTGACAAATGAGCCATAACCTGCTATGTCATATGCATAGCTTATGTGACCACAGCTTTTCCTTACACCACTCCCGAGCAAAAATCTCATGCGACAAACATGATTTACCTGGTGTAAATCCTGTTTCCAAGCCCTCTGTTTGCTGATCCTGAGGTTCAAGAGGAAAATAACAAGTTCACAAACCATGGCTTTAGGTTCTGGTGGGGGATGTCAATCGGCTTGGTGGTGAAAGCTCCGTAAGAAGGTACAGCCAAAACCCCAGGCAAACGACTATCAACCACTTGGGATTGTTGGGATATGAAGGTTCAGGGTGTCACGTTTGTGGTAGAATCACTCCATGACTTTCCGTCCACAAAGCCCCGAAGTTCGCGCCTGTGCCTCAAATAGGGACTTCCAAGTGCTACGCTGTCAGCGAAGGTGTCCTAACCGACATCAGAACCTCTAACATCAGAACGCCGATTCTGACACCAAAGTCGCCCCAAGAATCCCCAAAGTCTACTGGCCATCTCCTTACAATTCAGTAAAAACCCTCGAGGTTTTGCTGCGGCAGTGCACGTTAGTTCGTGTCACTATGACGAAATATCTGGTATTTCTTTACCGCTTTCTTGACCCGCCTGAAATATGCCGTCGCTCGTCGCTCGGCTTTTTCCACGAGTTCAGTGTGCGTTCACGAGGAAAGCCCTCCCACTGAACCCGTGCCGTGCACCGTTCGAGTCGCGGCTCCGACCAGCCTCCGGACCCGGGCAGCTGGTGCGGCCGACGGATTCCGGGGCTCCGTGCGACCCGGCGACGTCTTCTCCTGGCGGCGTCACGGTGTCGGGCACCGGGGCGTCGAAGGGTCGAAGGATCGAAGGGTCGAAGGATTCAACTCCTGGGAGCACCGGAACCCTAAGTACCATAGGGACCTCACCCTTCATTCAATCTATGGTTCAATCCGATTGTTCTTTTTGCTACAATACTTGGAACACAAAGTACATGCACATATTTAGACACTTTTGCGAAGTCCCGTGTTTTGTCAAACATGTTTGGTTGGCTTGTTCATATACTTTTCCCGTGGCTTGTGTGCAAGTATCTATGTGTTTTCTTGTTATTTCATCCAGCAATGCAGGGCCAGCCTGCTGATATCCATGTGTTGCCGTTCCGAAGTGAATGATATCCATGTGTTTTCCCACGCTGCCAACTTGCGGGACACAAAGGTGGACTTGGGAGATCTGTACAAAGGTGGACTTGCGCGCAAACAATCTGGCTCCACCTTACAGTTGGGGCCCTCGAAGAGTCAGTCAGAGTTGGGCTCGCACAAACAGGCGCGCCAAAGGGCCCAGGAGCATGTCACAAGAGGTTTCCTAGCTTTTGAGAATCATGTCCCCCAAAGCATCTTCACCTTCCGGCTCGGCAGGCCCGGCAGGGCCCGGCAGGGCCTCTGCATCTGTTGGTGAGCCATCCACCAACTGTTCCTGGCAGGTCGTTGCATGTTGAAGCCAGGGAGAGCTCTGAGGCTCTCCAAACGAACCTGGGGCTCCACAAAGTTCGATTAGCTGTCTTCGACCTCCCCAGTCGGTCGCCCCATGTTGGGACCCCCCCTTGAGACGCCCTTCGTTCGTGTGGAGAATCCAAATCAAGAAACGAGTGCTTCATCATCTCACGCCCTGAACAGGTGCATAACCCAAACACCAAAGGCTACCTGGACCTTCAAGGGGTGGACCTTCATGGAGGTCCCTCAGTAGTGTAGGGGCTTCCAGCCAGGTGACCTCTTTGAAGGTGCTGCTACACTTCTTCGACCTGTGATTTTGGAGACCGAAATGAGAATTGGACAATCCATCAGGCTCGCATTGGGGAAATTCGAAGATGCACATGAAAAAAGATCCTGTCCCTTCCGGTCAAACTTGGGACACTGCTTCAAAGGCACATCAACCACATGGAGCTTGTCCTCAGGTAACATGGGGTATAGGAAGAAACCACTGACTTGCCAAAACCAGACAATGCACATCTGAACCTGCTAGCCAAACCCAATGAAGCCCTGCGAAGATCGAGTTTATATCGAGTTTGTGCATAATTTGTTGTACCATATGATGCGTCAGCACTGTTCCAAGACCATTCATTGGGAGACACAGAACAAGGGTCCAGGTGTCGGCTGAAACGAGTGAACGAAACAATCTGCAGGTTCGAGTCTTTAGTCTTCGTGCCATGGCGATGGGCCATTCCCAGGTCCACAATCTTCTTTTCCCATGGCTCAGGTGACGAATCCAAAGCTGAACCGTCCCAGGTGTATGGATCGAGGCAATGCGTGTATCCATACTCTCTGTCCAACAGGATAAGAAGAAGCCACAGGCTCTGTCCCTATTCATTTGCCTCTTCTTGCGGCCGGTGTCTAACGTGGGTCTTCTGCTTGTTTCTATAGAGTCCCAGTCTCTTGCTGCTTCACCGCTGAGCTTCTCGGGTGCTCTCAGAGCTTCGGCCTCCCTCACGTTTCATGGCTGTCCGAAGAGACCAGAACTCTGTCGCAGGCTAGGCATCGAAGAGTCGGCACTACTTCGATACCATCCAAGCAGTGAACATCAACAGATTCACCCAAGACCAAGAGTTGCAGATGTTCGGGCCAAGTCACCTGAGCTACTTTGCTGCGAACATATGCGATTGTTTTTTCGTCAGGTAAGGGGGGAGAGTATGGGAGAGTGTTGTTTAAAAACAACCAAAACGTCCG